TTTTTTTTTTTTTTTTTTTTTTTTGGCTTAAAAATCTAGTTGGAAATAAGGTTCAACTTCCCCCCCACCAGCACAACTGCCCTCCCCCAGGTCACACTTTTTGCAACAGAGATGCTGCCTTTAAGTATTCCAGATATCACTCAATTGCCTGAAGTCTCATGGGTTGCTTTCTCTTGTCTTGATTGTTGAAATTGTCAAAAGAATTTGTAGAAAAGGGCACTGTGTTGAGACCCTTTGAGCTGCCTCTGTTGATCCAGGTTTTGTGTAGTTTTGTTTTTTTCCACCGTGTGATACAGATTTTTGAACTTGCGGTGTGTGCATTAATGTAGTGTGTGTAATGTGCTCGCTCTGGAAGCCCTTTCTGCAACACCACTGCAAGCAGTTTGAATTATTTTTCACTCAGCTTCAGGTTGTATCTTTATAAAATATGGTGGAATCCAGTGCTGGAAAACATGCAAGATTGACAGCCCTGGAAATTGAAATCCCAGTTTATCCATGGACTAGATAGCACAGCCTAGCTGGAGCAAACTCTGTATCTTGGCAGTAGGAGTCATGATTAACCTGCTGAGATGACCTCTGCTTCAGTTATTTATCCTTTACAGAGCACTGAAGGCTTGCGAAGATTTTGCACAATGGGAGCGTCATGTTTCAATTTGTGTTTTCAGTATCTTTCTATATGATATGTTTATTACAGTATAAATACAGGTTTGTGTATTTAAAAAGCAAAGAACTATGAACTCTGCACTGGATTGCCCATGTAAAAGAGATGTGTTTATCTATAGTTATATTATTAGTTGTAGAAATTGATAGGGCTATAGTGATTGAACTAATACATGATAAAATGTGATCTTCAAAATGTTAACTTCAAAGAGTTAACAATTTAAAAACCAGAATGCATCATGGTGACTTTAGCAATACAGATTTTCTGCTAGATCACTCTGATTGTCCCATCAACATCATGGTGAAGTGGTATGTAACAGAGGAGAGAGTTGGCCAGGTATGAAAGCATGGAGGGAATCCGTTGCTGTATCCAAACTATGCATTTGGGACTCTCAGTAGCGTGCAAGCCCCATCCTCTCTTTGGGGTGGAGCATGCTGAGGTAAAGCATAGCAAGCACGCCATGCTAGAAAGTTTGTTGTTACTCTTACAAGTTGAGTATCATGCACATTTTAAATCTGTCTTCTTGAGTTATGCATTTCCTAATGCTGATGTAAATTGCCAGGTTTTTACTTGGCCAGATGCGTGCAATATCAGCAAGTTTCTTGGTTTGTTTGGTGCTTTTTGTGTCCAGTTTCTTTTCCTTTTTGCCCCTTTCTAGGTCAAATTCTGCATTTCATTGTTACACAAGGCTCCCAGTGGAAAGGCCTTGCATTCTCAGCGTTTTCCTTCTGGGCTCTTTATTTTGAATTCCAACAATTCCATTCCATAGACCTTTCTCATACCATGATGCTTGTATCTCGTTGCACCACTGCTACGTAAACTGACACTTATGCTCTGACTTAATAATTTTTCAACACCACGCTTGCAGCCAAAGGGCAGGTTTTAGTTGAACTTTTATTTGTAAGACATTTTATTGTACTTGTGTTTTCCCTTGTGTCATTGACAGAGGCCATTTACAAGGGTTTTGTGGTTTTTGTTTTTTTTAATGGCCATTTTCCTTGGTATTCCTTCTAGAGCTTTATGCTTGGTGGGTTGTTCTGGAAGTAGATTTAACAACATGTCTTTCTGTAGTAATATGCAAATGACATTAAAGCAGAGAGTTCATAAATAAAGGAGAAGGAATTTAACTGCAAAGGGATTACAGAAGAGCAGAAGAGGTGGAGATTATAGGAAGTAAGAGCATACTTAGTACCACTGACAGGCTGAGAAAAGAAATAAAAACAAACACAGGAGAGGAAAGGTAGCGTTTTAGCATTTTCTATGTATTTAAATGAATACCCTCTCCTGCTGATCAAAGAGGATTTTGGTTGCCTCAGAAAAGAGAGGCACTAAGGTCTACAGTGACTGGAAAGCTTAGGGCAGATGTGTCAACACGCCTTGATTTGTATTCCCTTACTCTGAGCTCCACCCTTCCTTAGGGCATAGTGGAAGGCAGCGTTCATGCAGTGGGATAGCTGGTCACCTGTCTTGGGACACATCAAGAAGGAATGGGCTATTCCACAACCACTCGCAGCATCTTGGCTACGACTTTCCTAGCTTTCTTATTTACTTACATGTGGTACATGTCATGACTCTGCTACATAACCTACATGATGGGCTTAGGGTGTGGTGTTGGAACGGGGACGTAGACTTGGTACGGGAGAAGATGAAGGGGCAGGCCAGCAAAGTGAAGTGGAGGCTATACTGGTGTACCCGGGGGAATGCCTTTGCTTATTGCTATGGGCTGTTGTCTAAGTGGGCATGTGGTCTTCCCAGCAAAGTGTGTAACATTCAGCTGTGGCGTGTCAGTGTGTTGGTGTTGTGGTTATTTGTTTATCCCAGGAAAGGGATCCCTGCCTGTGCTATGTGTGCATTTGGTTTTTTGAGGAACGCAGTATGTGAGGGTATGAAGATGTACAGAAAGTAGTGCAAAAAGGGGTGCAGGCCATACTGTATGGCTTTCGGGTATAGATTTTGGTGGTCTCAGGCAATGCTAGCTAAGGATATTCTGACTGCAGGTCATCCAGCTTTGCCTGATGGTGTGCTGGAGAGCTGGTGCAGTAGGGAGGGAGGTTTTCCATAGGCTATTGCTGTGACACCCGTGAGTGTACTGTAAGGTATAAAATGTAGGGATGGTCAGGAAGTTTCTCTTTAAGAACCTGTGGGGGTACTAGAAAAAATTGGATGCAAGCAAAACAGCCTAAGAAAGCTGAAACACTGCCTTTACTTTTAGAAAAATCCAAGGGAAGACGTAATCATCCTGCATGTTTCTATTTATGAGCTCAAGGTGACTTTGACACATTTGCTGTCTGAATCTTAGATTCCTCAAAAGGAGGAGTCTAAGATATGTTTCAATTTATCTAATCTGTGCATACATACTGTATGCTTATAAGATTCCAAAGTGATAAATGAAAAATGATGGCTACAAAGCTACAGAAGTCTGAAGTGGTTTTGGATATGATGGAGACATCAGTGACACTTCATGTAGTCTTTGACTGATGGAAACTGTCAGCCACTGAGAATACATTGGGAAAGATGTCACCAAACAAATTGGATTTTCACAACATTGTTAGTTTGTGAAATAACCTTACAGAATAGATTTTTTCCTGAAAGCCCTTAAATGGAAATCATTAAAAAGAGCATCATCATTAACAATTAGGTAAAACATGGAAATGTAAATAAGTTAAAATAAC